ACTGTGTAATATGTGACATTCAGGTATGGCAAGCACTCCTTGCAGTAGCACTGAAGGTGCGCATGGCAGCAATTGTACTTGATTTTGGTGAGGTTGCAGATGGTTCAGTGCATGGGCATTCTGCTGGTACTGGGGCTCACATTATCCCCAGACTTCTGAGCAATGTGAAAGAGACAGCAGAACTAGGGACAAATTTTAGGGTGAGCATACTTTCATTGGAGATGACTGACATATGTGCGTTTTCCACTGCTTTTTTTAGGATGTTTATGACCCTGCGAGGTTAACTGCACTGGCTGCAATCAAATCTGATGGCCCAAAATGGGTCAGCAAGTATGCACGAGGTGGCAGTGTAAAAAATCAGAGTGCAAGGAGGTTTTACATAGCGCTAGATGCTGCCTTGGGACACATTGCGCCAAACGGGTGAGTCAAGATGTTTGGTGGTCCTTCATATGTAGATTTGGCCTTCTTTGGTTTTGCAAATTTGTGCAAGTCGATGCTGTAGTTGCTGGGAAAATCATGGCCCTTGTGTAGTTGCTTTTGACTGTCAATAGTGATCGTTTGGTTGGTTTGTGGCAGATTGGCTCCATTTCCGACTTCAAGGCTGCAAAAGCTTCTTGACACTGTGGAGGACACAAAGCAGCTCCTATCACAAGGGCTATGATGTTTAGGCATGTGGCTATACCAGCCGCAATGTGAGCATTGATGAGCTATGGCCTCCTCCCTTGCGGCTGCAAGTTCATACAGACTTTGGACTGCGATTTTATTGCTCCTTTGTGGATTATTTGCGGGTCTCTGAACTTTGAAACTTTTAACTTGGTCTTTTGTCCTGTTGCCAATATGATAGTAATCCTGATATAGCTCCCTCTGATCCTGATATTGCCCCATTAGCACCCCATTATTTTCGCCTGACAGTCTTTCTGCAGTACATGGTGCTGTTGTGGTATGCAATGGGGCCTAGAACCAGTACATTGTACACTCATTGTGCACTTAAACGCACCCAGCAGAGGTGTGTTGTCGGCCAGCCACGTTAACCAGTCGTTCGCAAAGTTCGGAAATGATACCGAAGCTGTAGTGGAGGGGATTGCAGCCATGGCCAGGTCGAGCGTGGGTATCACATTGGCGTTCATGTCATGACCGCGTGCCAGGACATTTAAGACTGCAGCATTACGTGTCACGTGTGTGCCAGCTGGTGCTGAGCAGTGAGAACATGACAAAATGATTTGAACGTTTCGAAGAAGGTCACCATCACGACTGTCGTCTGCAGCAAACTGTCATACTGAAATTCAAAGTGCTCGCAGCCTCCTGCAGTCCCAGCCATTGTCATGCATGGACCGCACGCCAAGAACGGTGTGCCTTTGACATTGGACGGGCTTTAGGCACGGACTCCATGGGCAGTGAACTGCTCTGGCGCGCAAGGTTTCTTAGCGTGCATCTTCGATTGTACCAACGCTCGACCATGTTGATGGTGTCGCACGTGGGTCACCCAGTTAGTCACTACATGTCAGTGCTGCAGTGCTGAGTGGTGCAACGACGAGGTGAACAGCATACTCAACATTTGCAAAGTGGCGCGTGTTGTGTATTCGCACAGTAACGTGCTGCCAGATCGTTGCGAGAGCTAACGGGATTGTTGGGGAAGCAGTCATGGACTGTGGCTGGTATGGCCGATGGGCGAGAAATGAGGCGTGGGGATGGCATGTCACCGTTTGTCGACAACTCGTTATTTTCTAGGCTTGCTTTTGTTTGTAGGGCCAGAGCCAGACGAAGTCGCCATGCCCGGCCCATTAAACAATCCTTGCCTTTGAAGCACAAAAAGGAAGTTCCACCATTCTGTGATGGAATGAATGGTGTGGGTCAACTTAATATCAAGGGCCACCAAATGCCTGTGGGATAGCGCAGTGAATCAATTTTTCCCTTTGGCATGGAATCCAAACGAGGTCATTCAATCCAGGCAACCGTTTTGTTTCTTGTCTTCTCGTTGAGTGGAAAGAGGTAGAACACACACAAGTGCAGGTCACAGGCAAACAAACCTGCTCGTAGGAAATAGTAACGAAGTCGGGCACTAATTGGGCTATGGATGTCGAGATTTAAGCCCATTTTGGAAACGAAATCGATGCTACTGAAAGAAGTTTAATCATGGACACGGCCACTGGGAGGGAGGTTGCGCAGGGGCGCGACTTATGTCGTTTCCCAACAGAAATACCAAGTTGACATAACAGGGAATCGGCGCGAGTCACACATGTAGTGGGGACCAGTTACTGACGGGTCTGCGAGCTGTTGGCGCATAGTGCATATCAAGCCCACACTGTGCGGTGCCCACTGGTTGAGTTGTGAAGGGTGGCTCCTCTGGGTCTGTACTATCTACTGTGTGGACTGTTAGGGTGGGCAAACAGAGACTTGCTATCTTCGCTTCGCTCCCATCCACCTGTTGCTAGCGCATCTTGCAGCAGTGAAAAGGCAGACTTCCATGCCTGTGTCGCTTCGATGACGTAAAGAGAGGCCCAGCTCAGGTCTTGATGGAATGTTCCCTTACCTTGGCAGTGAGCGGTGTGATTGTGTTCCCTCTATTGAATATTCCAAAATGTGCGTCATCAGCGCAAAACTGGGGCAAGCCGCCCGTAGATTGAAGAGTAGTGTATCGCATTCTAACTGTCAACCAATCAAGAAATTCACATATCAAGGCGAGGATGTAGCGATCAGCTGCCTGTTTTCGACCGGGCAAAACAGTGTCAATGAATAGGTTCAAAAGAGGTAAAGATATTTCTGCAATCCAACCAACCATGGGTGAGAAAGTGGGACCCACAATCACTAAATTCAGTTTATTCAAACCGCTGAGAGCCATTGTCTGCAAATGCCGAGCACAAGAAGTCGTAAACGATCACCATATCCAAATTAACCAATGCGTTGAAAACTCTCTCTGAAAATAGCATCAAAACAATCTGTGTTACCATAAGAAAATCCCACAAATGAGATCAGACATTTTGGCTGGCTCGCCAGGCCAACTCGGTATCGTAACACGCACTGATCCGCAAAAGGGCGTTCATATTTGAAATAAATGGGTAAGGGGCAAGTTCGTGTGTTCCATGCTGACGTGCAAAAGAAACAGATGTCTCATGAAGGGCAGTCTCAGTGTTACGGAGATGATGCCCAGACGTGATGGATGTGGGTGTGATGACGCCACCCACTTTCACCTTCGCCATTGTGCCCAGGCTCGAGTCTTACAAACGCGAGCGCCACACGGCGTCGTTTGCAACATCGCCATGTTGCCTTCGCAACGATGCTGCTCTCACCTGCGGCGCTTGCCCCTTCGCGGCGCAGCGCTTCTCCAGCACAGTGTCAGTCTGTCACGCCAAGACGACCAGGCACGCGGGAAAGCGTCGCGTCAGCAGTGCTTTGGCTTTAGATGCTGTTGCTGGACGCCATTGCGGCAACGGTCCTTCGCTGCGGCCTGCAGTCGGCAGCAGGCGGGTTGGGACAGCGAACAAGAAAGAGGTGAGCAAACATGGGCTGCGGGACATTCAGAGAACCCAGATACAGTACATTGGGCTTCCGTTGGACCATATTGGGTGCAGTGTGAGCTCTATAGTCGCGTCAATGCAAACTCTTTGTGCTGGGTGCTGCGGGCCTGAGTGCGGTCATGTACAGAACGGGCAACGCGCCTGCAGAGGATTTGCAGCCGCTGTCCATAGCTGGTGTTTACGCCGTTCTCAGGAACCGCAACTGAGCGCTGTCATTGGGCGGAGTCAACCACTTTTGGTTGCAGACTTGCTTGCAAGCTTGATTAGTCGTTTTTGATTGCGTTGTCGCAAAAAGACAAAGTGCCGGCTTTGCAACACAACGCGATGCGGAGCATAAGTTCTCACACAAGTTTCCGTGATACGAGCACCATAAACGCCATCTCCAGACCGAAATCCGGAGTTGAGTCGGCTGCAAACTGCCGAATGTCAACATTCCAAATCTTGGTGGAGGTTCCAGGCGTGACTATGGTTGTGTGTGCAGGCAGCAGTTCAGAAGTTTCAGCAGGGCAATTGGAGCTTATCCTGGGCCCAATGTTCTCTGGAAAGACAACAGAACTGATGAAAAGGGTGGAGCGAGATAGACTGGCAGGCATTGATGTAGTCGCAGTGAAGTCACTGATTGACAATCGATATGCAGGGACAAAGGCACACCATTCCCACATGGTGTCCCATTCTGGTGCAAGACTGGTGGGTTTCTTGATATTTGCGGCCCTTGGGAGACACCTACGATGGAATTGACAGCCAGCATATGGGAGCTTGTCCTCACTCCACCCCGCCCCACTTCCAGCCTGCTGTGGGCTGCGTAAGCTTTTAGCTGGCAGCGTGGTGTCCATTGGCGAAGCTGTGCTGGAGGAATTGCACTGCAGCAGTGCAAAATTGCGTATCACAAGGCGCAAGTGTGAACCAAGTGTTCCCAATTCTGTCCACTGTGCATGCCACATACACTGAACAAAAGTTGGGAATACATTGGGGCATAGCTGCTTTTTTTTCTTGGGTGCATGGGTGCAGAACTGCTACAGGGTCGCAATTTGACAGCTCAAGATGTCAAATGCAATCAGGGTTGGCAGCTGGTCTTTTGCAAAATGATGTTTCTTGAAGCTGTTTTCTTTGTGGCAGGAGTGCTATTCCTTCGAGAAGTTGTCATCATTCAAAGAAAACTTCCCTTCAGTGTATGGACAATGCCAGGTAATCATGTGCCCCACAATCTATAATGTGTCTTTCTGAGGGTTTGATACTATGCTTGTGGAATTATTGCCGTCAAAACCAGCGCTCCCACAGTGCCAAACTGCCTGCTTCGCAACTGTTTCATGCACATCTTGTTTGGGCCTGTGCATGTGCAATGGCAGCAGCCAAAAGACTCACAATACATTCTGCCATGTTTTGCAACACTATGATAGTGGCACCATGAATACCTCCTCAAGTCGCCAGAACGAAATGCTCATGCAAGCGTGTTGCCTGCAGTTGGTGCAGTTGGTTGTAAGCTGAATGTTGAGGACTTGTGTGCTCTTCGAACAGGGCATTGCAATTGATGAAGGCCAATTTTTCCCTGATTTGGTAGAATTTTGTTTGGAAGCCACTGACAGGGATGGAAAGACACTTTATGTGGCTGGTCTTGATGGCGATTTCACAAGGTCCCCCTTTTCCGTGAACGGAACTTGCCAACTTCTGAATCTCATCCCGTTGGCTGATGTTGTGGACAAGTACCTTGCAAGATGCCGGTATTGTGCGAGCAATGCTCCATTCACGTTTCGAACAGTCAAAGATGACAGGGCTGTCCTAGTGGGTGGAGCGGACATGTACATTCCTGTGTGCCGGAAACACTATGTCAAGATGTGGAAAGAGCTCGAGGCCAGATAGCAACCATTATTTGCAATGTTGTGTTCTTTTCCGGATGTGATATCATAGTTACAACACAAGGACCTGGCCTTGGCCTTCACAACCATGTGTATCTGTGCAATAGATGCGACCTTGTTTATGCAATCACGCAATGTAGAATATTGTTTTGTTTCCTATTGTATTGTCGTGTATTGTGCAGAATATCTGACTTACCGAAGTCGCCATATAATGGACGCCCTTGATCTGCTCAGCTGTTTATGTGTTCAATTTGTTCGCAGCGTTTAACTTGGGCGTCAGGAAGTAGCCAACGTAGATACTAAAACGCAGACGTCTTGAGCAAAGTGAAAATTTCCCCTGAGTACTGGTGCAGCCAGAAGGTTCTGTCAGCCCCTGGCCATACTCTGGTCAAAGTGACCTGGCTATTGAAGAACAACAGCCAACATCTTGCAGGGCAACACCCTCGCGACCTGGTGACACCACTTTCAGCAAACGGGGGACAGCGAATGCAGTGCTGGCAGTAGTGAATTACAGCAGCCCCAATGCACTGGAGTGTGCCTGAACATCAGGTCTCCATTTATCCATGCAAGTGTCCAGTGTCTCATGATGTTTGAAACCACATTCGAGTTACAAAGCGCATAGATGAAGCGCACAAGAGGTGTCGACATGAGGCAAACTCGAACAATGGGCACGTCAGTGCGCAGGGACTCACCATCGGGGTGCCACCATGGCCATTTGGGTACGCTAGGCGTCAAATTGACCCCAGCTGCAGACAGCCCCTCCCCCTTTTGGCTCCCTTCCATGTTGCTTGGATTCTGTTCTCATCATTTGCCACAGGGAGACTCCACATGATCTTTTCGTAGCATGGAAGACTCACCCACGCTTGCTCAGGACAATGTGTCTTTTGTGTGTCCGTTTCTTTGTCGAATTTTAACCCCCCACCCCCCCTTTCCCCCCACCTTGTCATCATTTTGACAACAGGCGTGCCAAATCAACCACCCTATGGTGACTGCTCTAACGGATGCGAGCAAGGAGGCGAAGCAAAGGTGTGAAGCTGATGGTGGACGGTTGCTGAGTGACCTTGCGCCTGTTTCCTAATGCAGAAAGGTGGCGAAGAGTTGGTTGAATGGCTGCCCATACACTTTGAATATTGTGAATGGCAGCTTGCGGTTTTTGCAGCCAACCGTCTGCGAGTCTGTCTGGACATTGTGCGCGGGAGTTGATGGCCTTTTTTTCCAGTTTTGTCAACGATCGCTGAAAGCGTCATAACATCAATGGTCCATCTGCCTTTCGGCGCGATCACAACCACGGCAATTGGACACCACGCTGCAATTCAAACGGCATCAAATGCATCCATTTGCGTTAAACGGCAATTCCGCAGCGGTGTCATCGCCATTCACTTCGCATAACAAGGCCGGGAGGTCGTGCTGCGGTGGGGCCACACGACGAAGGGGCTGGGGCGAAGCGGCCGTCTCGTCGCCACCCCAACATCACACGGTGGTAGAACTCCGCCCCAGGGAACAGCCCGATGAACATGCGTCAGGTCGCGTCACATGCAACAGCTCCCAGGTGCTTTAGTCACGCTTCCGTCCCTCACGCTCGCTCTGGTGGTGTACCATGTTATCCGTCCGCGTGCCTCGACCTCCGCTTTGTTGCGGCGACACTGCGACGACCACAGCGCGGAGTCCGATGGACTGAGGCCGCCGGCCACGTCGGCCCCACTGCCCTCCAAAGGAGCGCTAGCTATTTCCGACCCGTTGCAAAGTCGTGATGCCGGTGCACGGACGGCAACTTCAGGGGCCTCAGTGACCCAGCCACCGCGCTGCCGCGTCGCACCCTCGTGGATCGACGGCGCGTTGGCTGGCGCGGGGAGCGCAAGGCGGGCAAGGCGCCATGAGGACGCGCCACATCGGTACTTGCCTGTTCGTGATGGCGGGCATCCTGGCGATGGGCGAGGGGCAGGACGCTGCCGAGGTGGCCGGGATCGGCCGAACCCTCTCGGCCTCGAAGTGGCGAACGGGGGCCGAGGAGGATGAGGTGCGGACGTTCCTGCTGGGCAACACTCTCTTCACGCTCTACCACGAGCTTGCGCACGCCCTGGTGAGCGACCTGTACCTCCCAGTGGTGGGCAAGGAGGAGGACGCCGCGGACGGCTTCGCCGCGGTGATGATGATCCCCAGGGACGGCCAGCCGCTGCAGGCCAACCTGATCAAGGCCGCCGCACGTGGATGGTCCCTGGCGGGACGCGAGGACGCGGAGGACGGCGAGGACCTGGCCTTCTGGGGGCTGCACAGCCTCGACGAGCAGCGGCACTTCGCGCTGGTCTGCTACCTGGCCGGCAGCGACCCGAAGCGGTTCAACCGCTACGCGCTGGACTCGGGCATGCCCAAGTCCAGGGTGAAGATGTGCAGGGGGGATTACCTGATGATGCTGGACGGCTGGATGCGCCTGCTGGACACGCACTTCCTGGAGAAGCCCTCCAACGTGTCGGGGTCGATAAGCGTGGCGTATGCCGAGCCCAGGGGGGAGGTGGAGGCGGCGGTGCGGGACCTCGTGAAGGCCAGCGGGCTGATGGAGTACGCGGCGGTGGCCGTGGAGCACATGGTGGACCTGCCCCGGGACATCGAGATAGATTTCAAGCACTGCACCATGCCTTGGAATGCGGCGTATTGGGACCCATTCAAAGCCAGGGTGGTAATTTGTTATCATTTCATTGAGGAGTTTCGCGGGCTCATCAGGGAGGACATGGTAGAGCGCAGCTTACCCCAGCTGGAATGAGAGACGGACGGATGGGCCATGGGAAGGGGCCACGAGTAGGCAGCCAAGAATAGCAGAGTTCTAACTATCAGTCTGTTTGGTTGTGACAATAATATAGGTAGGTAGGCCGAAGCCTCAACAGGGAGACTGACTTGCGGCCTTGGAGTAACTGCTTTCTAAGATTTGGGCATGCACTTTCCTCAAGAAAGCCATGTCGCCAACGGCCATCCTGCACATTATTCAGCAGGGTGCGAAAGAAGTCCCTTGAAGCATTACAAGTCGTCCCTGGGGGTGGGTGAGTGTAGCGGGGGCATCCTGGTAATAATTCTCTTGTCCATGCATGACCTTATGCAGACAGGTGGCCACTGCCAGACACAGCTTTTGCCTATTGATGGGACTGTACTCATGTTGCTATGCACTGTTAACATTTAATTCGCTTTCAAACATCAATGTTGCATACGTCCAAGGGTTGTGTGTGTACGTGTGGAGCCCCTAACATAACATGGACTACGGACTATATTCATACGATCGACCACACAAACATCTTTCGCATTTGTCAATTTGTTGGGATCTCGACTGTTGAAAGCTTGCTTGCACTTGTTCTCATTGCTGCCCTTCTTGCCAAATTGGGGTGTAGTGTGTGTGGTGGGTAGGGCTGGGTGGGGATCTGTGAGGCAGAGGTTATGTTATTTGTACAAAAGTCGACACAGACTAGGAATAGAGCCCAGACGCCACTGACCAGCGGCAAACAAGTTGTCACTTCTTCGAAACCTCCCCAGCGCGTGAAGTCTCCATGAGGCTCCCATGGTGTCTCAATTGACAGCGTCCACGGTTTCCAATCGCTTCGAAATCCCATTTCAAACCCTCTGCAATCGCTGCAGCACTGGCTGTTTGCCTTCCTTGAAGAGTTTTTCACCTTACCTGCAACGTCTCGACACTCTCACCTCTGATCTGAAACATTGCACCACATGTCTTGGTAGCCTTGTTGGGTCATGCAGGCATTGGTATTGAGACTGTCGCTAACATGGGTGGGTGAGCTCAGCATCAATTTGATGCTAAGCATACCCCAAGTCGACATAGTACATTACAGCAGCATGTCACGACCGCGGTTCATACCATGTTCTTGGCAATAAAAGTTTCGACCGTTGCAGACAAACCACCGTGTAGTGCTCACCGTTATGAAACATTGACGCCCAGTGCACTTACAATGTAGTATTCCAGTGGCACCTCTTCAGCTGCCATTCCTGTTCCTGATTCAGTCATGTACTGCATATTCAATCAGTGGGCCTAACTGTCTTGCAAGTCGCAACATCGCAACATATAACGCGCTGCACACACCTTTTGAGGAACACTGGTCCGAACATGCAGCCAGCAAGCAGGGAACGTGCAGAATGACCATTTCCTATGCGCGGGCGAAGCACCCTTTGTTCGACCTTCCCACGAACTGTGTCCCCAGCAGTATTGGCCACTATACCAGAATCTGCGGCAACATCAATGAACGAGGACCTTGCCTATCGTTTCTGATACGGCGACTGCCATCAGTGACCAACTGAACCAACTGTTTATCAACGACTGTTCCAGCAACTCGCGACAATGTGGCCAGAGAGATGCGCTTGTTGATGGAGATGACAATCAGTCAGCCACAGCGACCACTTCCAAATGCTGACGCCCTCCCAGCACAAGAATAGGATTTGCTGGGGGGGGCACCTGCACTGGGAGGTAAACACACACTGATGGAGCTCGAGCGCAAGCCTGCTTCATAGGGAAACCATCAGATTCCTTGCGTACACCTCGTGCACAAGACATGCAATAGTACTGTGCAACCATCTTGGATAAGACTTCACAATAATTACCAACGTGGTCCATTGTTAAGTTGAAGTTCGTACAATAAGTCTCATTGACACCCAAAGAGCTCCAGACAGTGCACCATCAAATCGTCCAGAATGTCATCAAAGCTACAAAAGGTTACAAAATGCATGAAATGGAATGCTGGCCTGCATACCCACTCTGCACAGCCTTCAAGGCAAAGTGCTGCAGCCCCCTTGCACATCATGACTCAAAATTCCTGCTAATAAAATGCAGCTCCAAAAAAAGTAGCGCACAAATGAAATCAGGGAGGTATTTGTAAGAGCCATGCATTCCACACTCCAGACGGTGGTGCAGAGTCTGCCACTGGAGCAGCACCAGCGCTGTCGAAGCCCTTACTATCAACTGCCAGCAACCCAACCACCATCCGCATAGGACACAAGTCCCAATAGAAAATGGCCTTTTGAAAGCCCTCCAGAGTCGCAGGCTCACTGGTCACGAGCCCCCAAGCCCAAAACATCGATGCCTGGTACTTGATCTAAAACAGATGAACGCAAAAAGCCCCATAGTCTACTGCTCGGTTCATCGCGTCCTCGTAATGGTTACAACAACGAATACAGAGTACAAGGGCATTGTCATAAGCTCTCTCGTCTATTTTCTTGGTACAAGATGAAAACGTCCAACCGAAGTAGGGGTACAAGCACATCCACACATTTGATACAAATTCCCTCCCCCCTTTTTCTTTTCTGACTGGCGGTTCGGGCACGGCGGCCAAGTCCTCGCGTCGGTCTCTGGAGCACGCCCATCCTTGGCACACCCCGATCGCCCAGCGGCCGGCGCCAGTGCGGACACTCCTGTCCTCCCCGCAGCGAATGCCCAGTGGAGAACTTGGCCCGCACCTCTCTTCTCGTTTCGCGCCTGCGCGGCCCTCAGGCATGTGGGAGAACCGCCGCGCACGCGTCCACGGGGCCCTTCACGGCCGGCAGCAGGTCCGGCACGCCAAACCCCTGCGGCTGCTGTATGGCCGCGCAGCGCCGGAACTGCCCGTCGCGCGACAGCGGGTTGAGGGCCCGCATCGGCGGGGAGCAGCCGAACACGGCGCTGCGGTCCGTCTCGCAGTCGCTGGAGAGAATCTGTTGGATCTCGAAGCCCACGTCGCCGCTGCCGGGGCGCCCGTGCGAACGGGACCTGCCCACAGTCGGCCATCAATCAGCGAGGGACGCTCACAGGAACGGACCGCCAGTCTGGGCGACCGCACATATGCGGCGCCCGCGCGCGAGCGAGCGCGCTGCGGGGGTGCGCCCCTTTGCGCGTGGAAGGGCTGATATGTGGCCGACGGGGCACCTAAACGCCGGGGCGGCTCTCACCAGCAGACGCTGCTCGAGCGGCTGATCCTGACAGCCGGCGCGGCCGTCCGCCCATCCGGCCCGCCCTGCGCCGGCGCCTGCCCTCCGGCCGCTCCTCCGTCCGTTCCGTTCCGATAACGCAGGCACTCGGACAGACAGCTCCGCGCCCGGACCACCTTGCGCTCCGCCGTCATCTCAAAACCCCGGCGGCCGGCCGCCCCCGCTGCCTGCGGCCCCCCCCTGGACGCGCGCCGCGGGAGGCTGTGGTAGTCGCTGCCCGGGGTCCTCCCCTTCTGGAACCCACCCCTTGGCGCGCTGCCGTTCAGAATTCTGTTCTGGTGAAGTGCTGGATGAGGGATTGTGCCAATCTATGTTCCTGGTGGCGTCCGATCGGACTGGTGCAGCTGTGAGGGGTGGCGAATACATACATGGCGCAGCGCGCCGCCACGCGGGCAGCAGGGCGGCACGGCGGGCGTGGGCGTGGATGACCTCAGTGTGACGCCGAATGCTGCGGCGAAGTCGAGGCCCAGACACGCGGCCAAGCATAGGCCTCTTGGCCCTTGGCCAGGGGCCAAGGTGGCCCCCGCTGCGCATCCCCGTTGTAAATGCCTGCTAATCAAGCCGAAACTGTGGATTGGGGAAGTTAAGGGGCAGTTGCCTGGACAATTAACGGCCGCAGGGGCGCACCACGAAAACCGGCAGTCCCTTTCACTGCGCGCTGAAGGCATGCAGTCTGACACAATGCCCGGTGGTGAGTTGCGTGAACGCTGGCCTGGCAGACTGTCAACAAGCTGGATGGAGTGACTGTCACAGGGAACTGATCCCACAGCTGATCCCCTCTTTGTAGTGCCCGGCTTTGACCTATTGCACGTTTTCGTGGGCTACCTCAGGTGCCACTTCTTCGGTGCAGACATCCGCCTTCCTTTCACACCTTTTGATGCCTGTCCGATGCAGGTCACCCGTGGGAAACTGCGCTCTCAAAGCTACGCGAAGCGTTTCCATTTTTTCTACCTTGTGACATCAGTAACAGCAGGTATGAAGCGGGCAGATGGCCTGTTGTCTATTGTAGGCTGTCACGCACACAAGCACGTCTATTGCACAGGACCAAGCAGCTGAAGACAAGCGAAAAGTCGGCGGCTGGGGGAGGGGGTTCCCAAGGGGGTACACGAAGACCTGACTCAAATTCAATTGAAGATGCCTTCAATTCACACGCGATCGTTCCATAACGAGTCGATATCAACTCCTACGTCCACCTGCACAAAATAAACCCTGTGACTGTCGAACGCTCGTTCAGAGGCCAAAGCAGCCAGAATCAATAAACACACTGGGGCCCCTTCACCCATCTTTCTTTCCATCCACTATTCCTATGGAAATGTCATTGAGCCAACAATAGCAACAGCAGTCGTAACCGACTATGTATGGATCCCGCCACTCAGCTGCAGAATGAATGCACAAGAGAAAGTTTGAATCAGGATGAAGAGCTGGCATCAGCAATGGCAATCACTGCACAGGAATGACAATGCCAGTCTTCCAGCGGACAACGAGAAGCTGCACACACAGGAGCCAGCAGCAGCTCACAGCTGGTTGCGGTGCTCAGGGCAGGAGGCCATCCACCATATTGCCGTGACAGACAGCCACCTCTGCCAAAACACAGACAAGTGCTGTCAGCCCATATTTGCAGGGGCCTGCAAATGGTCAGCCTAACACAGTGGACACAATAACACAACAATCAGAGGGCAGGGCGTCTACAGCAATCGGAGTCAGAACAAACCACATCGGAACAGCTGCACAAGGTGCATGGCAAACTTGGCTCATGAGCAGAGAGCAACTGACGACTGCCAATGCCCACACAAAAGCTGGTTGGACTATCTTGCTATGGCTACACATTGGCAAGCAAGCGTTGGCCTGCCAACACAGCACAAGGCAAATGCGCAGATACAGGCAATTGTGCAGAATCCCAGCTCATGCTTACCCTACAGCCAATGGCGCATGAGCCACTGCATCCCAGCCAGGAGAGCTGACCCAACCGTCTCCCTGCTGTAACTTCCCATCCAACCCTGGTAGAAGAGGATGAAGTTTGTGGACACTGCTCCCTGTATGGTCGATCAACAACAGTACATGCCTAATCCAATAGGCACAACGCTCCTTTCCTTGGCATCTCCTACAGCACAGTCACTCCTGGAGAATCTAACAGCCTAGCAGCGTGGCCACACTACAATAAAAGGACAGGTATCAGTAGCCTCACAGGGTCGCCAAACTACGTCAAACTGCAGCCATCCACAGGCACCATCGTCGATCTTCTCCCCGAAAAACACACTTCCAACCCGAAATCCAGCACCAACACCAGCACCAGCACACAACGACGATGTATCCATGCTATGTCAAACCTGGCTGGCGCTGAAACGAAAAACTTGCATCACTGAGCCTGCCCCCAGCTTGATTTTCCTCACCATGAGCGTTGTGCAATATGCTTAAGTCAGCCTGACTTGCCCTGACATCTTCTGCAAGGATCTGGCCACCCAACTGTTGGCAAGTATGCAGCGATGCACTATGTTTAGGTGTCAGTTGGTCCAATTGTGCTGAACCCAGGGAACGGCGGCCTGTACGCACTTTTGGCAGGCTTCTGTGAGCCCCAGCGCCGGGTTGCTTAGTCCCCTGTGCCCTTTCCTGGGCCAACTGCTCCCAATGGTTAATTCCCCTGTGCATCTCTGCAAATCTCTGTCTGCGCGCTGGGTTGTCATCACCACCACATGTTCTTTGGCGTTGTTGTGCGTGCAACCAGTTCCCTTGCACCCCAGCAAAATTCAGCGGTGGCCGCTGCTGTCCAGTGCTGCAATCCATGGATCGGCTTTTCCCATTCGCAGGATCCGTATGGGGTGGCCTGTTGAAACTGTCGCTATTAGCTCTGTGTCTTGTGGATGGAGAATCTGCATGGCGCCAGCGCTGCTGCCCTCCCAGACCTGCCCTCATTGACATGTTGCTGTGGACTCCCTCATGCCCAACAGCTGGGCACTGGGGCTCATCTAGTCCCAAAGCGCTGGAATAAGCTCCCCAGGTGTGGCTGCTGTGCCCAGCCCGTCCAGTTGTGTGCAAAGGGGCAGGTCTGTGAACCTGGCCCTGCCTGTGCTCTGGCTGCCAAGCCACATGACATCCTCCCAAACTCCCAGCAAAATGAGAGCTGCTGTGCCTTTGGGTCCCACCGGGAAATGTATGGTCTCCCTGGCTACTGCAAGGAGTATTGACACATTGGGCTGCACTCATCTCTGGACTTCCTATCCAAACGCCCTTGGCATTGCTCTGATCTGGCTGGAAAGAGCCATTTCTGGCATCTTGCACTCTATCATTGCTCTCACTGAGCCGCGACAACTGAGATCCAGCAAGCTGGCCAGGGGGCTGCCTTGGGGGTGGCACCTGACCAGGGTCATAGGAAGGTGTTCTTGGACTGGCTGTTGTGCTGGTCAGAAATGGAAGACCTTCATTTGTTGCAAATCGAAAGCGCTGTGAGGCTAGGCCCTGCAACAAGGGATCATGTGTACTGCTGAGCACTGCACCAGACGACTTGCCACGTTTTGAACGGCCACCCCCAGCACCACTCCCAGCATATACCTCATCAGCAGCAGCCATTCCCTTATATTGATGACTGGTGTTTCCTGCAAGTTGCTGAGAGAACACTGGCGATTCAAGCTGTGCACTGCCAATGAGGTACTGCTGGGCATCTGGGAGAGGTATGGGACCAGAGGGCATGGGGCCAGCCTGATCCACGTCCCAGTCCGAGATTCCCTCCTTTTCAGGTGAATGTAGGAATTCATTGTCGCTGCACAGGAAAGCACTACATGTAATGAGAAAGTGAGTGCTTATATCAACACCTTAGCCGCCAATCGGTATGCACCAAAAGTCTCCTGATGACCAGGTAGCACATACAGAAGAAGGATTCTCCTCACAGCATTATCGGGACAGGGTTGATATTGGGTGATGCAATTCATCAGGATACTGTGTGGCTCAACAACAGAAATCACTCGCCTATGTTCATTCCATGAAAAGCACAAAAGACACTAATAACTTTTCATATATCAATGGGCTCAAAAGCATGTGCATGCATGTGCTCAGTTGTTATGGTCATACATATCATATGCATTCAGGACTGTTTGCATGACAAGGCTATCTTGGGCCCTTGTGACAAACTTCCTAGCCAAAAGTGTTCATCCACAGAACCCAACAAGCCAGGTCAACACAGAATGAGGGTGCAAGTCATGCAGCTCCCAAATATGTTCAAATTCTTGTGCACTTGAGGCAACAGTTGGAATGTGCAGCTTCAGACGCAATCACCTAAAGTTAGGATCCCAGTCCCCTGGACTGGGGCTGTACTCTTCCACTGTTGTTCCATCGTCTTCATCAAGTACCCTTGCTGTCTGGCATTCACCACAATCCCACTCTCCACTGTCTTCCCCTAGCTTGATGGGCATCTTCAACTGCACCAAGGAGCTTGTTTGTGCACTGTCAAGGGTCAGTGGAGAGGTCTCCTCGCTCTGTTGGTGGCAACCTGGCTGACTCATCGAAAGTTCACCCATATAAGATGCTTTGCGATGTGCATCTGGCAACTGAAAGCCAACTATTCTTGGGCTCAAGTCTGGTACAAGCACCTGCGGGGCCGGATGAGGGGGAGGCTTGTCTGCAGAAGGGTCAGCCATCATGGCCCCCAACCCCGTCAGAGAGTCAAGTTGCTGTCTCACATTTTCCTCTGCAGCAGCAGCTGCCGCCCCCGCCACTGCTGCAATTCTGTTCAGGTACATTGGGCTCACCTGGCTGTTAGGCATGGACTGCACAAAGGGAGGTGCCCCAAATGTGCGTGGGCTCAGACCATGCCCTGTCAAAATGGCGCTCAGCTGTCGTGGGGGAAGGCACGCCAGCACAGGTGGCTGAGCTGCTCGCTTCCTTGGGGCCCCCTGCCCAGCCCTGTTGCCTGCCTCTGTGCCTTCTGTCCCAGCTGCTTGGACGGTTGAGGACAGCATAATATCATCTGGTGTGGAAGGCAGCATACCAAGGCTCTCGGCTGCATTGCCAGAGCCAAAATGATTGTTGGTTGCACAATGAGGGCTCATCTTGGGGCTGAGTTGCTGCACAGCAGCCATGGCTATGGCGTGGGCCTGTGCATGTGCATGGGCCTGTGCATGTGCACGGGCATGGGCAGCAGATGGGAAACAGCGTGGTGTTGTCGGAAGAGCCTGAAAGGCATCAGCATGCCAGCTGTAGGAGTGGCCTCGTACCACTTTTGGGTCTTGGATGCCTACTGGATGAGTACGCGACGTTGAGTCTGGGGCAGGCGGTGGCTGAAAGGGGCCGGTGAAGGGGTCGCCAGATATGAAGGGGTGCAAAGCAGCCTGGTGGGGTGTCCAGCGAGCATGCGCATCCACCTCCAGAATGCCCAGCAGAAAATCCACGAAGCACTCCCTGTATCCCTTTTCCTTCAGCACATCCTCATCGCTGAGCCCCGACTTCATTGGGTAAGCACCAATGATGTCTGCCAGCTTCGAATGCTTGAAATACCGCTTGCCAGATGGGCTCTTGGCATCGTTCCTTGCCTCAAACTCTTCTTTAGACAGCAAATCGTGTTGCATCCTTCCCTGTCCATCCACAACCACCTCCACCTCCTTGAAGTATGTCTTGCAATGCTTTGCTGCTTTCAGCATTGCCTCAGGTGGAGGTCCCAGCATCTCGGTCAGCCGAGCCAGCAGATCCCGTTCTGAGGCAGCAGGGAATAACGGCAAGCCTAGAAAGAGCTCAGCCGCAACACAGCCAAGTGACCACATATCTATAGCAGTGGTGTAGGGATATCCCAGCACAACCTACAACCACACCACACAATGCATTGCTGCGATGTGCTAGAGCAGCAGGGACAGGGTCACAAACAATGTGCACCTTCCCAGGGAATGAACAGGGTCAGGGCAGGAGAACAGCATTCTCCTCACACTTTGCAAATGTTTTCCTTCAGCTGATGGAATGAAAGCTCCGTTGCTCACAACAACGATACCTCAGGTGATCTGTAGAAGCGGCTCTGAATGTATGAATACACTGTTTTGTATTCCAGGCAAGCAGAGCCAAAGTCGATGATTTTGATTCTGCCAGAAGTCTGGTCCCTCAGAAGCACGTTCTCGGGTTTTAGGTCACAGTGGATGATCCTCTCGTCCCTCAGCGTCGCGAGACTGTCAAGCATCTGGGGAGCACAAAGGCGACAGGCATGTGAGTCCACTGGCACGGATCCAGCATTGAGACTGCGAGAATGGCACCAAGGGCAGGGGGTCAAGCGGCGTCGGGCGCCCACCTGCTTCAGGAAGAACCTCACGAGCTGCAGCGACAGTCCGCGGTACCCGTTTCTTTTGAGGAGCTCATACAAGTTCGTGTCCAGGAGCTCAAACACCAGGCACAAGTGGTTGCGGAACCGAAAAAAGTCCAGCAGTTGGACAATATTGTGGCGTTCAGTGTCGTAGCGCTCATTCAGCAGCCGCAGAATGCCCACTTCCACCCGTGCCTGGTGGTAATACGCCTCCTGGTTCTTTATCACCTTGACGGCAACAACGGACTGGGTGTCTTGGGACCAGCACTTGACGACCTGCCCAAAGGTCCCCTGGCCAACCGCATCCATGACCTGGTACCTGCCAGTGCGCGCACACCCGGGGTGCCAATCAGCCTGGGCTGCCTCGAATGGCTAAACAACATCCGACCTGCGGGATGGCAGCCAGCACCAGGCGCTTCAAGGATTACGATCGACCAGTAATCCACGAAAGGTGAAAGAGCGCCTCACCTCCGTCCCAGTTCCTCGCTCACGAGCACATCGCTCACGCGCATTATAAGGTCTGAGTTTGCGTTGTCGAACCCGCCATTCTTCACTCCTTCGCTGGGCTTCGTCAGGGCGCAGTCCCCGTCGGAGCTCGGCCCCGGGAAAGAGGCAAAGACGCCCTGAACAGGGCACACAATCAAACATCACTGCCAATCCCCCCAATGCGACCATATTGGGAACAGCCACGAGGGAGGGCGCGCAATTGGGGCCTGATCAATGCACCTCTGAAGTTGTCATGGGCCTGTTGGGCGAGGGCGCGGCCCCTTCTCAAGTGCTTGGGCACGCGTCCGCTCTCCAAGCCGTTGGCCCAGACTCAAGAACCGGGGGAACTGGGGGCCCCACTCCCTGCGCAGGAACGCGGGTCATATACCCAGGTGAAAGCGAGTGCCCCGTCGCATGGGCGGGGTCGCATGCGCCAACTTTGCGTGAGTTGTGAGGGAGCACCAAAAGCCTCCGGGCCACGTCCACCCATGCACTAGCACTAGATGTGACGATTTTCTAAGGGTCACTATCTTTTTGCGACAGTGAAATTGTTCTTTGTTTGCGACAGTGTCACTCGTTATTGCCACAACGTTGTTCATTTCTGCGACAATGCCTGAACTGGTCTTTTTTGCGACAGTGGGTTGTTGTTCTTTTTTGCAATAGTGTAGAGGTGGCCACCCGGATCCGTTAATAGCGGACAGAGGTTAATTTCCGTTAATTAACGGAAAATAACGAAAAAAGACAAAAATTAACCAAAAATTAGCGGATTTTTGGATTTTTTGGGGATTTCTGGGTTTTTTTCATACTTATAGTTTATGGAATTCGCTATTAGAGAGTATGTTTGTATTTTATTTCAACCTATGCATACTAGATTTTCAACTAGCCGCAGTTGTTGTGATTTTTGGGGGTTTTTTTCGATTTTTTTGGATTTTTTTCGTTTTTTCTGAATTTTTCTCCCTTTTTCTTTAACGAAATTTAACGGACAGCTGATAAAAATTAACGAACCGGATTTAACAGACCGGATGGCACCTTTGAGTGGCCACCTCTACAAT